CCTATGAATACTTTCCTTTGCCATGTTGACGGGCAAAGCATAAATGCATCCTGCAGGGCTAGCTATGCAGTTCAGTGGCAGATTATTTTCTTAGTATGTAAAAAACAAAACGAAACCCTGATTTTGGTCCCTAAGACTAAAAAAAGGATAAAAGAAACCATCCTAATACAATAAAGATCCTAATACAGCCACTAGAACATGTTAGCAATTTTGTCATAATTTGATCTTAGCTGCCACCACGTCTTCCCAAAATAATAAAGAAATATAAAACAATAATGATAGTAAGGTTCAGAGAGTTGAAGAGAATCAGTCAAGGTCATAAAACTAAGGAATGGCAGAGCAGAATTCAAACAGAGTGTTGTCTGACTCCAGTGTTTTGTTCTCTACAACATACATCAGTGAAGAAAATAAATGTGGCAATCGTTATGACTATTTTCTGTTAGCCTCTGCTATATCTGGTTTTTTTGTTTGTTTTATTTTGTTATTGTTTTGTTTTTCACTACCACCACTGCCATGGGCAGTTCTGTCTTCACAGAGTATATATTCCTGAAGATTAGTCAAAACCAGAGAAGTGGCATGCAGGAATACATCCAGAGTTCTTATGGGAGCCAGGGAAGGTCTTCTTCTATGAATGCAAAGCCTAAACATGATGTTCTAGGAGAACCTGCCCCTATCAACATTCATTTCCCTCCTTCAGATCTCTTCCTCAGTCCAAAACACTTGTTTCCATTCCTCCACCTAACAAGACATGACTTATTTAAGGACTGTGTCACATTTTTCCTGAGAACATTTTTATTAACACATGTTAATTGCACATTTCAGTGCGCTGGAAAGTCTTAAAAATCCTATGGAGAGAGTGACTCCTAACTTTTGTAGATCTCCAGCATTTGAGTGAGGTCAGTGTAATGTTGCCTTATATGAATGCAACCTGCACCAATCATTTTGAACCATCCTTCTTATGCCCTCTTACCTTCCCAATCCCTAGTAATTGCTCTTCTACTTTCAGATCTACAATTTTTAAGTTTCCACATATAAAAAGAGCATGCTGTATTTGACTTCCTGTTCCTAATTTCACTTAACATGGTAGCATCCAGGCCCTTCCATTCTGCTGCAGATGACAGATTTCACTCTTTATGACTGAATAATACTCCACTGTACTAATCTGTGTACCTCATTTCCATTATCCATTTGTTAATGGGCACTAAGACTGATTCTGTAATAATCATTGTGGATAGTGTGGCAACAAACTTGACAATTCAGGTGTCTCTTTTGTAGGCCTATTTTATGTTTTCCAGGTATATATCAGGAGTGGAATAGCTGAACTATTGGCTTTATCTATTTTGACTTTTTTTAAAAAAAAAAATTTATTTACTATGTAGACAGTGTTTTGTCTGCATGTATGCCTGCACACCAGAAGGAAGCACCAGATTCCATTACAGATGGTTGTTAGCCACCATGTGGTTGCTGGGTATTGAACTCAGGACCTCTGGAAGAGAAGCCAGTGCTCTTAACCTCTGAGCCCCTATTTTGACTTTTTTGAAGAGCCTTCATACTGATATGCATAGTTCCTATGCTAATTTATATTCCCATAAAGAGTATATAATGGTTGTCTTTTCTCCACATCCTTGCCAGGGTTGAGTTTTCCCTGTCCTGGACAAAATAAATTGTCCTTATCTTTCTTCTTTGACTGTGATTATTTTTGCTTTGTTTTCTAGTGTCTACCCCACTAAACTCCTGTGTCCTTGAAGACAGGCACCAAATCCTATCCATCTTCAAGTCCATAGTGATTTAACAATGACTTGAAAGGTGATCAATATGTGCAACTGAGCAAAGGACTGGCTGAGAATTCCCCCAAATGAACAGATAGAGGTAGGACTGAGTCTTAGGATGCCCACCTCTGATCCCCATCTCCACTAGACTAGCCTGGGAAGTCTTGGTTGTCGTCTGCTCGGTTGATTAGGTTTGTAGACACAGGAGACAGATCATAGGTTTAGCTGACAGCTGCTCAAGGCAGGCTCCAAGCCCACTCTTCATCCCATACTTTGAAATTAATGTTAGGGGGCCAGGCTCTCCTGGAGGATTCTGTTGAAGCTTAGAATTCATAGAAGAAAGACCTCCCCAGGCTCCCACAGGGACAGCGGATAAGTTCGAGCATACCACTTCATCTGGCTGTAGCTGGTCTTCAGGAACATGTGCTCTGTGAAGACAGATAATGAGGTTGGGGATAATCTTTTTTGATACCTTTGAAAATTAAAGTCACCAAGTCCTAATTTTCAGCAACGTTGTCGCATTTTATGTCACCAATCTTTACAACAGCCTTCTGTGTTAGACCTTTTTGTCACCGCTTTGTAGCAGAAGGATGTGAGACAGTGATATTCCTGCCTTTCCCCAGATCACACAGCTAAGAAAGTGGTGGAGGCAGAATTCACTTCTAGATTTGTCCTCCAAAGTGTCTTCAAAGAAAAATCCACAAGAAAAATATGAACTTTCTTCCCTGTGTAGAATACAGATAGATTTATAAAAGGTTGTATGAGATGTTTAAGGTAAGGTGCCTCTAAATTACTGTTCACTTTTAACCCCCCAAAATCGATTACATAAATGGTAAGAGGAATAGGTGGTACAAAAGAGCAGCTTCATTATCAGCCAGAGGTAAAAAACAAAACAAAACCCTCCCATAGTCAATTTTGGGGATGACTACAGAACAATTTTCCGTGCCTGATAATTCTATAACTAAAGTAAAAGAGGCTCCAAGAGGTCATGAAATTTCTAAAGTCATATAAAATGTTAATACCAGAACCAGGGTTTATGATATGGTTGTGCCAAACCATTTTCCTTCTACTAAGTCAGACTGCCTTATGGAGTGGATGAACAGCTCTTTATAAAAAGGAGGGCAGGCACTGGTGTGTTATTGAACTCAGCGTTAGATGTGCAGACTCTTTATTCCATCCCTTGTTAAGGCCAAGGTAAGATTTGGAAGGGAGAGCTGTGAAATGTTCCAGGCTCCTCTAGCTGTCGATGTCTGAGTGACCTAGGCAGGAAAAGGTAGGGGAGTAGCCCCCACCCACCCCCACTTTAGCTCCTGAGATACGGAAGTGAGTGTGAGAAGCCCAGAATTATTCCAGAAGGATGCAATAAATGGGCCCCTTGATCCTTTGCCCCTGGCAAGTTCTCAGCCAAAGGATCCCAGGAACACAAGCCCTTTCTACCCTCCTCCTGGTCTTGAAAGTTAAGGAAGCTGAGGCTTTTGGATAACATGAAGTGCTGGAGCAGGGGAGGTGGTAATGTGATGTCGATGTTCTGTATGTTAAATGTGTTGCTCTGATTGGTTAATAAATAAAACACTGATTGGCCAGTAGCCAGGCAGGAAATATAGGTGAGACAAGGAGAGAGGAGATTTCTGAGAAGTGGAAGGCTGAGGCAGAGAGATGCTGCCAGCCACCACCATGAGAAGATGTTAAGATACTGGTAAGCCATGAGCCACGTGGCAACTTATAGATGAATAGAAATGGGTTGGTTTAAGATAGAAGAACTAGATAACAAGAAGTCTGCTGTGGCCATACAGTTTGTAAGCAATATAAGTCTCTGTGTGTTTAGTTGGTTGGGTCTAAGCGGCTGCAGGACTGGAGGGTGAGAGAGATTTGTCCTGATCGTGGGCCAGGCAGGACCAGAAAACTCCAGCTACAATAATGGGCAGAGCAAAGACGGTTAACTCTTCCTTCATCATCAAGAAATGAGTGTGGCAGCCAGGCGGTGGTGGCACATGCCTTTAATCCCAGCACTCAGGGGGAGGCAGAGCCAGGAGGATCTCTGTGAGTTTGAGGCCAGCCTGGGCTACAGAGTGAGATCCAGGAAAGGCGCAAAGCTACAAAAAGAAACCCTGTCTTGAAAAACAAAAAACAAAAGAAAAGAAAGAGTGTGGCTTCAGCAAAGGGGATGAAGATGATATGGGGGGGGGGAGGTGATACAGGACCAGAGGCCACACCCAAGCAGAGCCAAGTAGGGTGATTCTAGGAAAAGCACTGGAAGGCAAGTTGTGAGTGCAGCATCCCAGAGAAGCCTGCATAGGTTGCATGTAGCAGCTGACCCCTACTCCTCACTCGGGGCCTTGGCCTGAGCTCCCATTGTCCCCATCGAGTGGGCCAGAGAGCCTAATAACATAACCCGAGTCTCAGCCACAGACCACAGTGACCTAGGTTCTGTGTGAAACTTGCTGTATTGTTACTAGACTTCCTGTTTCTGCCTGCCTTCCCCCTGATCAGCATGAGCTCTCTGTGTCCTTGTTTCTACCTGGCCAGATGTGTGCTTCCTCTCCCTGAAAGCCAGCTGCCACAGCTGCACACTCTCTTGGACCTGTGCAAACCCTATTATATTGGGGTAAAATGATCCAGATTGAGGCTGCAGAGATACCTCAGCAGTTAAGAACACTTTATGCCCTTGAAGACCTAGATTTACTTCTAGTACCTACCCCTTAGAAGCTCCAGTTCCAGGGGATCTGACACCCTCTCCCAGCCTCTATAGGCTCATAATATATGCAGGCAAAAAGTCCTACACTTCAAATAAATCTTTTACAAATGCTTCAGATCCTTAGATCAGCTTTCATTACACTCTCCTGTCAGCCTTACATGAAATCACTCTCCATTAGTCTTCTTAGTATAAAGACTAATGTACCCATAAGGAAAATGCTCAAAGAAAAATATCACATGTCATCTTCAGCCTCTGATCTCAGGCCAAGAGGTGAGGCAGAAACAGATGGACAGGGATGGCCCCTCTTTGACCCATGGTCAGACTTCACACGATACATTTGAGGCCATTGAGACATTGAGTACTTGGTGCAGATGGCTGCATGAGCCTGGAGGCAGGCCAGTTAGAGGAGGCTTTGAAGAGAGACTTAGCTCATCTCAGCGTCCCATCTTACCTCTAAGTAAAACACCCCTGCTATAACTGTTACAGTTAGTTTCAGTTTTGATCTTCCCCAAAGATAGAGTATGCATGACATTAAATTCGATGCTTATATATTCATTTATTTTGAAGTCCACAATATATACTGCTTGATGAAAAAATACATATACAACAGCACTTACTGGTTTGATCACTTTTACCTATACATATATATCTAGGCACACAGGTACAGGGAAATACATAAGACATTCACCAAAGGGCTGACAATGATTGTATCAGGGTGAGAATTTCAGGTAACATGTACTTTTGCTTTTTTTTTAAATTTTTTAATTTTTTTTATTTTTTTATTTTTTTTTAAATTTTTTTATTTTCACTTGGAAGGTTCAAAAAGATACCACTTTGTGAACAGACTAAAATCACCAGGGAAAGACACACAGGGAAACAACCATTAAGCAATCAGGTGAATGAATAAGCAAGGAATGATGTGGGGCCATCCCTCTCCATTACATGGTACACAAGTCTGCTTTTCCTTCCCCAAGCAAACTGGTTTTGAATTAACTCCTTCCGAAGGCCACCCCATACCTGTTTCTTTCAGAATAAGTTTCTGAGGAGAGTTAAACACTGATCTGGGGCTGAATCTCACCCCTTAGAATGGTGTAGAGGGTTTTGATCTCTCCATATGAGTCAGCTCCTGCAGAGTGACTATCAGATTCTCAAAAACCTGAGCCTTGTTGCTGGTGCTGTCACAGGTTTCTTTTGCATGGCCCTCTTCACCACAGTGGGGGCAGCGGATTGGATACTTTCGCTTTCTGTTTCTACGCAGATCCCCAGGCCCATTATTCCTCTGTCCAGAACCACTGCTAGTGGAAGGAGACTCATCATCAAAATAGTTGGGGGATTCAATAGCTAGCATCTGATCCTGAATAGTGTCTCTGCCTCGGAGGGAGGAGGACAGTGGAGGCACAGACTCCACCAGGATCACATCTTCATCTGAGTCATCCTGGGAATCATCTATCTCTATGACATTGCAATCAGCACCGCCTATCACTATAGGCAGGGAGCCCTGAAATACGACAGGGCTGGCGGCCCTCTCCATTACTGACTCAGATCTTCTGGGCCGTTTATGAGCAAGCAAACGGTCATTCCGTTCTTCTTCCTCCCTTACAATCCTGATTAACTCCAGGAAGTCGGGAAGGCATTCCTGCTCATTATGCGCATGCATTTGGAGAAGACTCTTAAGCTTGATGCGCAGGTCCCTACTCAGCTCAGCCCCTACAAGGAGCTGGTGCAGTCGAATCCTGTTTGCGTCTCTCTCAGCAAGGACCCCTGCCTGAATAGCATTCTGCAGCTGCACCTCTAAACGGATCACATACAGGGACGGTTTCTCTCCATGTGCCTGCAGGGTGTTTAAAAATTTACCTTGTGCTGTTACACTGCTCTCAGACTCCCCAAATACCAACTTCATTGCCCGCAAAAAATCTGCCACGTTTAGATCGGGATTGGAAGCCTGGAGCAAACGCATGATCTCCCTGGCAGGGCCCCTAAGGGTTCTCATCAGGCGTTTGAGCTTTTCCTCCTCAGACATATGCCACTCTGGCAGGACCTCATGGACCTGGCTTAGCCAGTTCTCAAAGGTTTCTTCCCCCTGGGC